GCAAAGGAAGGGTATATGGTGGCTACAACCAAAATGGCGGTTACAACGTAGGTGTGTCTTATAGTTGGAAAAGGCGCTAAGAATGCCTCTGCTCAACAAAAGCTTTCAAGACGATCACCAGACCCCTACAGTCACACGGACCTTTACTTTCTACATCGCGCTATTCCCAGGCTCGTGGCTTTTTGGTGTCAGTTCTCAAAACTCCCGAGAGACCACTGTTCCTTTTTCAGATATTAAACTTTCCCTGGCTTTTAAAAGCCTACATACAAAATCACATGTTATCTTTTGTTCCTTTATGAGCTTTGTTTTGTTACGTGGCATTTAAAATAATGGACAGACAACAACAATAAGATGCACATTGTGTTTGTTGCGTGTCATCTCATTTCAAGAGAAACAACTTTAAATGGGGGATCTTGAAACATCTGATATCGTTGTAACCTTCTGTGTTTGTTCATTTTGTTTGCTTCTTTTTGTAGTTGTTATTGTCGGGGTGGGGTGGATGGGGGTTATAAGTTCAATAAGGAAGGAAAATGTGAACGACCAACTCATGTATGTCTCTTCTCTCTTTTTTATATTTTATTTGTAGAGGGTTTTACGGCGCTCACAACTGCATAAGGCCATATGAGCGCCAAGGGGTGGGTGTCAACAGAGAAGTCCTTACAGGGAATCAGACTTACTCTGCTCACCTCTCTAGCTTCAACAGTACAAGGTCTGCATCGACTTTCAAAGCATCCCGGAAATAGCAGGTCACAAGAGTGTGACAAACATACAAAAGAAGTAGAAGAAATGACAATAGTAAGGATTAGGAAAGAAAAAGCAGCAGTTCCCTGTTGCAGATCAGGCACAGTTATGAGCGTGACATGATGATTCAGCTCCTTTACAATTCTACTGTGCTTGAACGAGAAATGTGTCCCCTTTGGGGATGGCCTAAAGACACTACAGTCAGTGGCATTGCCCCCGGGGTTGTCTCTTCTCTGAGAGGATGGGTTTTCTCATCCGCTGATATCGGCGGTCATCTCCTGATGTAAAAAGAAACGTAGTATTATGAGCCCTTCGCCCTGAGTTAACGGTGCCCATGAGAATATCGGGATCTATTCCTTTAAATATTTAAAGCTCCAGAATTGCATTCAGCTGTATTGCGAACGGATCTTTGAAAAATAAGCTTGGTCTATAAATAAAAAAATCTGATTGAAAAGTACGTCAGCGGTGTAGTACCGACAACATTAACTTTTTAAAAAGTCTGCGTCATTCCAATCGAGGCGAGTCTGATATCACTAACGACTCCCTTTGTGTGATTGCAAATTTGTTTATTGTTTTGATTTGATTTGGGATTTTTAAAAGTTTGGTTTTCTGTTTTTGTTATTCTTATTTTAGTCTTTGATTACAAGGGATGGATCTGGGCTTGCATTCGTTATCCTAGTCTGTGAATTCTTAATTTAAACAAAATTATGCATTTGCTTTTTTAAAAATTTTCGTACGAATAACAGGTAGGCCGTCATTGAAACATGCCCTATGACAATGATTGTATATGTGGACAAAAGCAGTATACCAATACCACGTAAGCATTATAATGTAACAAGGTAATTTTAATATTGTACAGGTATGGCAAACGCATATTTCCTTGGAAATTCTTGATGTTTAACGATATATAGACATAGTGATGTTTCAATACAGGCTTTAGCAAATTAGAAGAAGAAGAAGAAGAAGAAGAAGAAGAAGAAGAAGAAGAAGAAGAAGAAGAGGAAGAAGAAGAAGAAGACGACGACGATAAGATAGCCTTTGATAGCGCAAATGTTCACTTAACACGCAAGAAGTATACGCTTCATTGTCTATTATCATTATTACTGCATCAGGCTAATCTGGCAGTTGGAATATCACCGCTCACTTCCGCTAATAATAACTCAGTCAGGGAATAACTCATCCCAATATTTCCCTGAAGGTTTCCAAATACGAGCGTGAATATTTGAAAAAAAGTTATGAAAGTTGTAAAATTCTGAAAAACTTCATACTGTAGGCAAAAAAAATTCAGTCCCTCAATATATTAGTATTTGCCTCTATTTTGTGTACAGTATTTCAGCCTCTTCAGCCAATTCTGAAAGTCACAGCGATAGTCAGCGTCTGGCATGTTTCGCAGATCTGAATTGACATGTTTCGTTAGGTACTGAATGCATTCAATTTTTCGTTCAGCAAGCTTTTCTTGCAGAATAGGAAGCAACAAGTAGTCACATGGAGCTACGTCAGGACTGTAGGCTGGATGAGGCAAGACTTGGATTCCTTGCTCTTGTATGTTATGCATAAAATTGTGGCCCTTGCTTTTGTGGCGAGCAGCACTGTTGTGATGGAGCCTTGTGCGTAAGGATCCGATCCTTAGTTTCTGCTCGCCAACGGCATTTATCAACTGGGGTTGTAAAAAGTAAAAATTCATAATGGTAATAAGTGACATGATATCAGCCACAGTCGGACTACTGTAAATGAAAAAAAAAGATGGTAAAAATCCTCTCTCTTTTTACCTTGAAATCCTCACCGTATAATGACAGGACTGTTTCCTTTTCCGTCCATCCACAAACGATTCATCTGTTTGGAAGGGAATTGAATCTTGGTCGCTTGCATGAATCTCAGCAGAGAAAGTCCCTTGGCAAAAGGATCATGGGTCCAAGTTCTGCGCTATGTCATAGGTGAAAAAGGCACGAAATAACATAAATAGATGCCTAATACTATTAGCTGCACAACTACAGATGATCCAGAGAGCACTTTATTTTGTCTTTTAAATTTTGTTATTTACATGTAGTATTATCAGAACGATCCCATCACATTCGGTTTCCGAGCCTTTAGGTTGAAAAAAGTTTCGAGTTAGCTTTATTTGTATACATGAGAGCCTAGTCCGCTTAAGAGCCTTTGCCAAAATGTGGGGACCTCATGGAGGTTATGAAATTAATGTCGATCAGTTTTCTCGAATCTTTATTTATGCATACATACTTAATCTGTGCATATGATCATCAAATTCCAGAGCAAGCAGGCAAATGGTTTCTAAATCATGATAGTGTATGTTGTTGAAACGTTAGTTGACTCGTACATGATAATGACGGCAAATATATATGAAAACACCTTTCGTGGATCCTCGAGATGAGGGAGGAGCTACTATGGCATTGTACCACCTGCGATGATACCTATTCTTCAACCAAGTAGCCAGGTAATCATTTTGTAAAAAAAAAAGTAAGACAAGCAAAATAACATTTCAATGTTATTTCTAGAACCAGTTGCATCCATTATTGAAAACACAGAAATGGTGAATGAAATACTGTCTTTATAAACTCGATATATTGTCCGTGTAGCTGTGTACAAGACAGGAGGCATAAAATACGTTCAGTAAGCATATCTCCTTTGTGAAATAAAATAATATAGTTTTTCTAATTTTCATTTGAAGAAGAGTTGTTTTGATGTCTCTCGCTCATAGTTTTCAGAAGTTTGAACAGTTATTATTAGAAAAGCATACACATTTAAAGTTTGACTCGTATATGTGATACCCAAAAACATTGATCCATGGGGCATTTACTTCAAAAGTATTTTGTTCTTCCAAAAATCGACCATTCTCATTATGATGAAAACGAAAGTGGACACATTAAAACATGTTAGAATATTCATCTCACCCCGTTGTCAAAGTTGAGCGTTTTCATACAAACTACAAGATAATGATCAGATGATTCTTTACGTAATGGAATGACGACGTTTCGAGACTTAAATTTAAAGTTAAAATAGACACCGGTAGAATCGACAGAGCAGCTGTGCAAACCCCTGCTTCGGCACATAATAAATATCTTTTCTAGATAATCGGATGTTTTATGGGTAATTTTGCCAGTTTCCTCCGTTCAAATGTAATGTATGAATATCCAATAAGCTTAAAGTGAAATAAATGGAGACACAAAGACTGAACAAGTCAACCACTTTGAGGTCACCGAAACAAAGATAACTTTCATGTTCTTTTCTTTTCTTTTCACTAAACCTAGTTCAATTAAGGAATATGTAATCTATAATGTTTGTAAAGGAAGGTCTGAGAGTAAAATTTGGATTTATATGAATCATTTCACCATGAATAGAATGACCCTCATAATAAAATACAACTACTGATTGTGGAGAATACATCTAAAATGCAGAATGTGATGTCTGCGAGATTATACCCTTCAGCTCATGGTGGTTGAAAACGCATTTCTCTACGCCCGTGCCAAAAAGGATCTCTGGATGTTTAAGTGTGTCGTTTTGCCACCGGATTAAATTTCAGTGTAAGATTTCTCACATCTCTTTGTAAATGCTTTTGCTGTTTATGAACTCAGCAACAATAGAAACCCTTCATCATCACCACCACCATCATCATCATCATCATCATCATCATCATCATCATCATCATCATCATCATCA